GGTGGGGGGAGACTACGGAGAGTTGCTGATATAATTTCATTTCCAAAACTTCTGAATAATGTTAAAATCTGTACACGAGGTTGCTCTATGTTAAATGCAACATATCGCTTTACTAAACAACTCACTTTTAACGGACGTCTCCTCTCATTTTACACCTATCTATCTGTTTGTTTTATTATAATTTTGATAAAACACTTTCTCTCCTTAAATTAATGTATCTGTTCTTCTCTCGTCTTCCTCGCTTTCTCAACCTCTGTTTCTCATATTATTAATTTCTGCTTATAGAATAAAAGTCATCTTTTAAATGTCTGCCCCTTAATTCTGTTACAGAAGGTTCTAAAAAAGGTACACCGTTAAAATATATTTTAGTACCTTGTTTGATACAATATAAAAAAAAGAACAGGCCTATATTATATTATGGTATTTGAGTCTGATTTATAATAGAATCTAGATCTACGCCTAGCAAAGCGTAAAAACCTATGATCAAAAGTACCAAATTAATTGTTTGCCCAATGTTTATAATGTTGCTTGCATAAGTATTATCCCTATCCATAAGCCTGTGATAGTGTTAATGTTTGCTTATGTGTTATCATTAATCTAAAGATCTATTATTTATACAAGTTTATTCACTTGTGTTTTGTCTTGAGATAAAGGTATTGTTAAAAGCTTAGAGCTGTTTTGTACCGGACTTAGTGGTATAAAAAGTTATAATATGCATTGTTGTTGTTGCTGTCATTATTATTATTATTATTATTATTATGAAATATTATTATTATATTTAACGTCATCAGCCAGAAACGTCTGAAGTGGACGTGACGTGGATATGGGCCATCTTGATGACCATCACGGCACCGTACATCTTCTCTTTCCTGGCCGCTACGCTCCAGCTTTGCTTCAAGCGAAACCCACCCCTCGCTTGTGTCCCATTGATTGTGGTGAGAGTTTTTTTTTTTCAATTTCATTAAAGTAGAACATGCACTGACGGCCTCATGTATAAGATAGTTCCACGTACAAACGGACATAGTGATGGGCGATATCAGCAATATCGAATTCCATACGATATTGATATCCCCCCCCCCCCCAGAAATATCGATGCATCGATTTTTTTCGATATTTCAAATTATAATCGATAGATTGAAATTCGTTATCAAATATATAGATATATCGACAGCTATCGAGTCTGGTTATTTCCAAAATATCGACGCTCGAAAATGGCTGTCTTCTTTTTTGTGTGCGTGTGTGCTTTTATATTTTGTTTTTGTTTGTTTTAAAAAAATATTTTTCTGTGGGTTTCATTGTGGGTGAAAACATAAAATCATGAGGTTCCTAGTAGATACACATCTCTCTCTCTCTCTCTCTCTCTCTCTCTCTCTCTCTCTCTCTCTCTCTCTCTCTCACAAACACACACACACACACATACACACACTCTCTTTCTATCTATCTGTCTGTCTCTATCTATCTATCTCTCTGTCTCTTTCGCCCCACCCCTCCATCCCGCTCTTTGTTTCTTCCTCTGTCACTATCGCTCTATTTTTGTTCTCTCTCTTTCATTTTCACACAATAGATGAAATGAAGTCAGCTTGGCACTCTGATTTGGCATCAATGAACACTGGCGTTGCAAGTTAAAAAAAATAATAACTAAAAATAAAAAAGAATCAGGTCAGGTCATGTCAAACAAAACACAGAAAATCATGTAGATCTCCTAGATCAGATAGATACATTATTTGTACAATGGATGAAAATGAAGTTATTAAGCAATGGTTGGCATATCGAAATATCGAAATATCGAATTTTTTCTCATTGCTTTGATACGATATCGATATTAGTAAAAAAAATAAATAAATTGATATACCGATATTTTAATTTCGACATGCCCACCACTAAACGGCCACTTCCCACTTCCTCCCTTGAGTTTTACATTATAATGACTTTATATAATAGGCAACATAATAATACAACAGAGGGTTTGATGAAGCCCACGTGGGGCGCTCACTGTTAAAAACTATCAGGAAACGACAAATGCAGTTTTTGGGACACCTGAATAGACATAAAGGTCTTGAATATCTAGTTCTCACTTGCAATATTGAACGCAAACGAGGCAGGGGTTGGCCCAGAGCAACCTACCTGGGGAACCTAAACAATTAATGGGTAACGGGGAAAGATCAGGGAAACTTAGCTTTTTTAAGAACATCCGAGCAAAGGAATGAATGGAGAACTATGATAGCCGATGTCAGTCGAAGATCTGGCACCGGATGACGATGATGATGATGATTTAATAGGCCCACCTATCTAATTCAGCCACGTTCTTTCTCGACTGTTAATAACCAACTGAAAAAGTTTCGACTGTATTTTTAATGTAGGCGTGACACTCCCTCCTCAACACAATTTAGATTTATCAGGGGGTGGTCTACTCCGACTTGCTTGCTATAAGGGCCTAACCATGCCTAGAGAAACACATCATCCAAGGAATAAGACGGAGATTGTCCACCACACGGGGCTCTATCTCAGGTTTTCTGCGTTCGACGGCTAACTGCCTGGCCGCTAGATCTACCCCACAGACGTCAGTATTGTGGTGGGTCGTGAAGTTAGCAAGAGTTAAATTTGAAAAGGAAATCGCTTAACGCAATTTAAAGATTTGTAATTTGTGTGCGTATGTGTGTGTGTGTGTGTGTGTGTGTGTGTGTGTGTGTGTGTGTGTGTGTGTATGTGTGTGTGTATGTGTGTGTGGGTATGTGTGTTTGTGCTAAGGTATTGGTGCAATTTTGAGATACAACATATTTGAAGGGCGTGTTCCACATTTTAGCGAGAACAGTTGTTTGTTCACTGTCAAAACATGAAGCAATTTTCATTATTTCACTTCTCCTTGTGTATTGGGCGTGCTTCCGCCGCGATTGATATATGCCTGTATGGCCTTGGTTTTGAACTTTGAATTAGGCGGTCTAAACTTAGGTTGTTGAAGAAGTTTTTAGGAGTTCTCCACCCAACTGGCTTTGCCCTTCGAAGATGGACATTAAATCTGGAGATTTTGTCTCTTGGATGTTCTTACAGTGTTAAAATAGGAGTTAAAATCATACTTTTAAATCACCAATTACAGACCTTTTTATCGTTTGTTACCTTTTCTTTTACATTACAGTATTAAAGAGATGTTAAAACCCTAGCATTAAATCCCCAATTGCAAATATTTAATACTTATTTCTCCCCCCCCCCCACCCCCTTCCGCCCCCTTCCTAAGGTTAAAGGGAGTATGAAATCTGAACATTAAATCACCAAATTACAAATAATATGTTATTTTATCTTGCCGAATCCCCATTACACCCCCACCCTCTTCCACCCTTCTACAGAACCTGTGCATAGAGACAATCCACTCCGTGGCTCTACTCATCTTTGTGTACATCGTCCTGCCAACCTTTGACCCCGTACTTGCTTCGCTGCTCATGCTGACTGTGTGCTCCGCCCCCGCCATGCTACGCGTCATCGAAGACGTGGCGTCTCTTCGGAACAAACCCGTGCCAGGACGTGACAACTACCAGGAGAAAGGAAAACTCCGGCGTATTCTCAAATGGCTCATGGACATTCTAGGTCTGGGTACCCAAGTGATGGTTCTGGTTTTGTTCACTATCAGAATTCACAAGTACTACGATTCTATTGGTGTGACGGTCGCGTTCCCATTGTGTGCAGTTCTCATATCGGTTAACTGGTGGCCGAATTTTGTTCGCAGATTTCCTGGGCTGCACAGAATTCGAATCAAGATCAAAGAGGGACAGGTGAGAGATCATTCTTGTCATGTTTCACGGCGTCTCGGAGTTTTACAGTTATAAAGTATAATAAATAATTGAATGTATACTGTTAATTTGCGAAAGCTAAAGCGTTTATTTGTTTTATTCTCAGTAAATCTTCAGTGCACTACTAACCTTTTACATAATATTATGCGTGTGAACTGCCTTTGAAAATACGGATAGTTATAAAACTACGTGATTCAGTTATGTTTCAAAACTACATGGTGCAGTTATGTTTCAGATAATAATAATAACAATAATAATAATAATAATAATAATAATAATAATAATAATAATAATAATAATAATACTATTTAAAACAATAACAATGGGGTCCCACGGAGCGTAATACACTACCATCCCTTTATTTGTTCAGCTATCTACGAATGCCCATGTTAAAGACTTGTTGCGAAATTGTTCTTTCATCTTAAACAGGTAAAAATCAACTTCCTCACCTACTTGTGGAAGATCATCGTGACCTTCGCCGGGGTCATCGTTCTGTTCGGGACAGGGGGCGGTGAATGCGCAGACACTCTGTTCTTCCTAGCCCAAAACGCCTCTGGTTGTAGTGTCATCAGCGACTTGACACTAGTGGACTCCACCTACCTCCCGGACAGCCTGACACCCTGCGGAACATACGAGGCCTTCTACTTCGCCCTCGCCAGCATTATATCAAGCATTGTCTGCTACAACATAGGTGTCGCTGCGTGCCAGGTGCGCGCGCAGGTCCCGTGCTTCGCACTTCCGCTTGTGCTGTCGACGCCAGTTACTTTCGCTTTCCTGATGCTATCTTACTCCACTGAGAATACGAACAAGTGAGTGCTGAGGGTAATAATCCTTGTGGGTTTTTTTTTTTTTGGGGGGGGGGGGGTTGAAGATAGATAGATAGATAGATAGATAGAAACAGTTGTTTGTTCACTGTCAAAACATGAAGCAATTTTCATTATTTCACTTCTCCTTGTGTATTGGGCGTGCTTCCGCCGCGATTGATATATGCCTGTATGGCCTTGGTTTTGAACTTTGAATTAGGCGGTCTAAACTTAGGTTGTTGAAGAAGTTTTTAGGAGTTCTCCACCCAACTGGCTTTGCCCTTCGAAGATGGACATTAAATCTGGAGATTTTGTCTCTTGGATGTTCTTACAGTGTTAAAATAGGAGTTAAAATCATACTTTTAAATCACCAATTACAGACCTTTTTATCGTTTGTTACCTTTTCTTTTACATTACAGTATTAAAGAGATGTTAAAACCCTAGCATTAAATCCCCAATTGCAAATATTTAATACTTATTTCTCCCCC